TCTTTTGCCTCCTTGGATGGCATATCGCAGCTGCTTAAGCCATTGCGAGACCCTCGCCACCGGGCTCAGTTACGAGCAGGAAGAGCAGAAGTTGGATGCCAGTTGGGAGGATGTTGCATTCTGTACAGGGCTTTTCGAGAAGTGATTGGTGGGAGTTGACAATCGGACGAGGACAAGTCCGACCGCGCCAGTAGGAGACTGTGAGGCAGTTGCCCAGCGCCTTCGGCGAGGTCATGTCTGGATCAGCCTCGAAGATGATTGGCCAGTTTGTACAGCCGACATTGGCCCAGAATCAGACTGCAATTGGTACGTACGTACAAGCAGTCGCGAGAGGCTCATCGTTACAACATGCTCCTGGCGTTGTGCCACTACAAACATGTGCATATACCAGATTATTTTGGAAAAATTCCTACCATCCATAAAAACGCTCATGATCGGGAATTTCAGTCTTGACCCCGAAGATTTCTGTCAGAATTTCCCTCTCGGATTTAAAATAGCAATAGACTACCACTCGTCCAAACCTGCATTTGTTTTGCCTTCTATAAGCCTGGCATGTCTTGTACCTAAAGTGTTTGGAGTGTATGGGTTTCCAGGAAAAAGTGCGCATTGTTCGGGGGTTGCTCCGTTGGGTCCCTAACTGGCCAATGGGACGTCAGCAACCGCACCTCGACAACCGCTTCGACCGGCGAGTTACAACAAATGGGGGGTAGCCCGTGGGGTTTCCTATATGAGGAGAGGACTCTGCGGTGAAATCTGGTTTAGCTAACAAAGACGAACCAGCAAATTTTCGGCATGCACAGGCAGAGGCTTTATGGCCAGTCAGTCATCGTCTCCTGTGTCCCAATTCCCAGCCCTAAAATCTCCAAGTATTTCAGAGAAACAAAGTGACAACAAACCCCTGGGTTGCGCAGACTCATTCTGATCGCTCTCCTGCAAAACTGAGGTCGTACCTCAGTGGAAGTCAAGAGCTGCCCTGGACGTCTATGTAGCCGTAATTGGAGAAACGGTGCTTAGGCCCTCACATGAAAAGAGCTAAAAAGGTCTTCTTAACAAATATTAGCTATCGGGAAGTTGATCAGGAACGCGGAACAATTCCTCGCTTCAACTGACCTATCTCTCCCGCCAGCGTGACCTCGTTTGCATTTAAAACATGGGTTATCCGTATATTTTAATTAATGACTCGGGGGACTGCACTGGTCGCACAAGAATTGGCTCCATTCACTGCTGAAAACGGAGTGATGTCGGTACCGAATTCGACACCAAAAACGGCAGTTTCCCGCTCATATCATCCACTCGCGTTGCCCTAAGTTAGCCGAGATTTGTTATCTCCTAGCTCTGAGCAATACTTTTCAGGAGACATTAATTTACCTAGCAACACCAGAAGGACCATCTGCAGCCTAATTTCTCTCCGAGAAGCAGCCACGCCGGAGATCAGTGCATCCGGAGGGAATGAAATATGCCTATTCTAAGCGCTGACTTGATTTTCGTGGGCTTACTGATTACGCCTTTGTTAGGCAACGAGTACCTCATTGATACGAAGGCTGTGAAGAGCTATCAGCGCTACCAGATCTCGAGCAAGTTCTCAACCTACTTAAGTATGTCAAATTTTTAAAATTATGAATAATCAAGAACTACTTTACATTCAAACAAGCAGCAAGGCGGACTGTGATTCACACAATGCTGAAACTTCTGGCGGATCGTGACGTTATCCTCATATACTTTTATGTCCAAGTGTATAAAAAGAATGGGGTCTTTGGTGGACACTAGGTCTTAATAAAATGTACCCTTTGGTAGGTTTCTTTGCGCGATTAAAATAAAACCAGCCTCCTCAAATCCATGCTTAATTAAGTGCTACCTACAACCACGCTAGATGCGTCTGATCAACGCATTCAGCTACCGCATGGTCCATTCGTCCATATGCGCGTAAATGACAACGATCGCTAAAACACTTCACATCACTCGAGCGTTTATTTTTTAGGGAGAAATTTTAAATGTACGAGGCTGTCATTTTGACAAAAATAAAACTACCAGAAACTTCATCTGACCGCACTAAACCAACCAGCTTTATGAACAGTCCATAATATGGGAGCAGCTGTCTCAAGACTCCTTCGAGAAGCGGGTGTGAAGGCGAAACTAAAGGCGCTAATGTGGCGAACCAAGTCTGCTAGCTCCCAAGGCCTGTCCAGGTGTCCCCACTGACAACGTGCGTCCAACGCCCGAATTGGCTTTCTTGGACACCTTCGGATTCGCCGCGATGGCATCACATGTGCAATACGGCCCCACCACCAGTATCGCCAGTGAAGACGGCCACTTCCACCTGTCTGTTTTGCAATGCGGTGTTTCTGCTCTGGTCTTCTTTTGCCAGATGCCCTCTTCACCACCGCAATAGGCATTCATCCCGGACTCGAAGAAGCACCACCATTGTCAGCAATGTGACAGTGTGCCGACTTGTCCGCATTGTGGCCGCACATCTCACCATCACATCGGACTAGTCGATTATCCAGTAATCCATCGCAGCGGGGCCGGTGAAACAGTTATCGAAACCTCGGCAAAATGTCGTCATCCAAGTCTTCCTTACCTGCTGCATACATGCGCATTCAGTCGCTACACGGTCTATTCGCCCACATGGGCATACACGACAATAACTGCTACAATATTACACTTCACGCCAGCGCACACCGTTCTGCACACGCAGTCGCCGCGTGAAAATTTGTGGTCATATTTGCACAGTTTATGGCTACCTCGCCCTCACACATCAACTCTGTAATATCAAGGTCAGTAATGACGGGTGGGCGGTTATACACCTGCTTGTTTGTGCGCGTATAATACGTGATATGCGGGGTCTTTATGGCATTGCAGCCGCCGCGTCCAATTTCATCACTACTCGGCCGGCATGGTCACACCGATCGCTGGTGACTGAGGAAGGGGAATGAGAGCGGAATGGATGCCGAGGAATCCTTCTTCATGTCAAATCAGAGTATTCCTCATTACTGCAAGTTTGAAAAACTGGTCTCTGCCACATTGTGCTAAAACTCGTGACTCCGAAGAGTTCCCTTAGAGCAGGAGTATAACTGCGATGGTTCCCTCTTAAGGTGGCCTTCATGAACCTTTCAGTTGCGTGACGGCCGAGGCCCTATGAATGAAGATTGGTGCGTATAGTGTTGTGGACCAGGGCGTGCGCGACGCGTCGGACATCAACCACCACCACCACCAC